CTAAAGTTACACTACAACAACTGTTTAACCGAAGTGGACATCAAAAATCAATTGACAAGGATCAACAATTTCACATATTTATGTGACAAAGTAATGACAAAGTAATGCCATAATTTCAATAAACACATTGAATCCTAAATACTGTGTGTGCCTTGAAAGGAAGGATATTTAGTTGTTTTAAGTCCCAAAACTGAGCTTAATATATACCTTGTTCCATGATCAAGCATCATTGAATCTCTTTTCTCGAGTTGATGGTCACATTCCAGCAGGGTCTTTACCAACAATGTAAAAGCTAGCCCCTACATTTATCTAAGATATTTCATTTCACAAGACTAAAGTTGGGCAGGCATAATATATAGGAGTTGAAATATAGACACCATCTAGGACACTATCCTCAAGCACCTGATAAATCATCATCAAACTGATTCAGGAACAAAAGCAAATAGATGAAGATGAATCAATAAAAGGCAAATACATGAAGAATCAAATAAATAAACCAGTTAGTCAGTTTTCAACACATAAAACAAATTTAAAAAACTGAAGAATCAAATAAATAAACCATTCAGTCAATTTCCAACACACATAAAATAAATAAATAAATAAACAATTTTCAACTCTTAATCTTCTCTGGAATCCTCCCTACCGAGGATTCTGGGAATATATTCTTCTTCCCCAATATTTGACAATAGTTATCTAGGAAGTCTCTCGACACCCTAGCTCCCAACCATCGGAGTGGTGAAATCAACATCCTTACCGTGTCTCTTTCGGCCTTTTGGGGCACCCAAGTTGAATAACATAACCCCTGTTTTGAGTTGGACCTGAATAACATACCGTGTCTCCTCATTCCTTTCTTTCACTTCCTGACTACCCCACCAGTGCCTCGTCTCAAACAATTTCCTCCTTCAATTTACTTTTCGATTTCTTCTTCGATTTCTCGTGAGGATTTCTAATTTCCTCTTAATCTCCTTTTGGATTCATCTTATGGAGATTTCTACCTGGGGAATTGTTATCTGTCCCTTTCTCTCGGAATCTTGCTGAGAAAGTTAATCGGTCCTAAATTGTTTCAAGTGGTGCAAGCAGCCTCGATTTCTTCTACAAAATCAGTCCTTGGTCCAATCAATCTCCTAGAGCTCTCAATTTATGGAGAAATTAAGCAGAGGAAGCTTTCCTTAGACTCAAATGGATGGTTAACTCAGGGAAATAATGTGATTAATCCTAGTGTTTGGGTGATATGTGTGATTGAAGTTATTGCTGAAGTTTCTCAAAATGAATTGGTAGATAATAGGTAATAAAATTTTGGGTTTTGATTAGACGGAGATTTGGAAGATAAGCGTCTCTTTAAACTATGCAAACAATGTGTTTGTAGAATTGCTTAAATGGGTTTTGCTAATACATTTTCTCTTAACACAAATCGGATTAGGCTTTTTGTAGAAGGTTTTTTTTTTCTTTTTTTTTTTTTAAGGAAACGTTTCACTTGAAATTATATAAACTATAAAATATTGATCCTTTCTTGAAAATTTATTGATTACGATTACCCATTTTTATCTTCACACAAAGTCTTGGTAATTAGCTATTTACTTTCATTTTTCTAGTATATTAGATTGTTAGTATGCCTAGCTGATGCTAGTCAGTTAGTGGTTGCCAACATGCTATGTATTTCTAATGGTCTTGACAATCCATGGAATTGCTGACCAAGTAAGTCCCAGTTGAAGATACATTTGAGTTTGCTAAGATCATACCTAATCATAAATTATAGATTGTGGAGGGAGCAGATCATTGTTACACAAGGCATCAAATTGAATTAGTGTCAGTTGTAAAATTTCTAAAAACAACCCTATAATTAAGAAGACAAGGGTTCTACAAATCAGGTAGTTTTCTCCTGATTGGCATTTTTTTTCTTTTTTTGTCTGTTAAATGGCAGATTCGCTGAACTTTGAGCATTTAACCTTGTTCCTGATAATGAATCAATGTAATAAATGTGCCTGGTGGAATGCAACCATGATGTTATGGATCTGAAACAACACCAATATAATCAAGAAAAATCACTGTTGAAATATAGACACCACTGTTGTTTCTGGATCTAGAACACCATCCTCAAGCACTTAATAAATCATCATCAAACTGATTCATCAACAAAAGCAACTACATGAAGATTTATCAATAAAAAAAGCAAATACATGAAGAATCAAATAAATAAACTAGACAGTCAGTTTCCAACACACACACACACAAAAGGATTTTCAATTCCTGATCTTCTCTGGAATCCTCCCACTGGGCTTTTGGGAATATATTCTTCGTCCCCAGTTCTTGACAGCAGTTATCTCTGAAGTCTCTCGACAATCAAGCTCATAACCATCGACAAGATGAAATCAACATTCTTTGTGTGTCTCTTTCGGCCTTTTGGCCTCTCACGTTGAGAAAGACAAAGTGCCCGTTATGAGTTGGACCTGAATTATACAACTGCAAGCCCAGTTGGATTTTTAGTAACTGGTGGGTGCTCTACTGTAGTGGATAATAATTCATATCTACCCCAGCCTGTTGAGTTCATGCATTTTTCAGCCGTTTTTGGAGCCTTTGACAATTGTTTTTTTTAACAGTTTCAAATCTATCTTTCCAAAGCAAGTTGATGTGGCCGAATAGATGGGGAGGTGTTGATTGGCGAGTGCGAGGGGCGATTGTCCCTAGTACTTGCTCTATTTTCTGGATAATATCACGTCTGCATCACAAAATATCAAATTATAATGTAACGTGATAACTAACTTAGTATTATATGATAACTCTATATGGTTGAGCTTATTATCATTAATTTAATTATAATTTTATTAATTTATTTTT